CGCTCTCACTGAACAAATAAGAAAATTGCAACAAGTACTTGAGAGGTTTAATTTTTTAAATATTTGTTTTGTCCTATTTTATTTATAACTTAATGTCTTTCCAATATATCATTGTAGGTCATAATATTATATTTAATCTCGTGTGTGTGTGTGTGTGTGTGTGTGTATTTGCCCCTATGTGGGGTAGAAAGAAAAAAAAAACACCCCTTTGTATGTGCATGATATTCTTTGAACATTATTAATAAAGAATCAGTGAATTATATACCAAATAAATCACTTTATTTCTTTCATTTTGTCTCATCATCACATAAACAAGAGCTTGACAAATGGTCCAACCAAGGGTTATGAAACATTTTAGAAAAGTCCTTTAGGGTAATGATTTATGAAACAATTGTTGAAGTCAATGACTATGAATAGTGCATTCTGAAAGTTTTAGTATAAAAGTTCTAATAGAGCGTATCCTTTGTCTACCTTAGGGGAGAAAATCATAAATTTATTTTGATAATGCCTGTGTCAGTCAGTATGATTTCATTTTTTCAACGTAAAAGACTAAGTATTAATAAAAGTGAAAATCTGTGACTAATAGAGTTAAACACAAAAGGTACTAGTTAATGTCACCCCTATATTTTTATCTTGAAAATAAACTGGACTTAGTTTTTACCCTACATGGGAGGAATTGGGGAAAACATTATTATCCAAATAACCAACTCATTTGTCTTTCCAGAAACCACAAGATTTAAGAGTAAAAATAAGGGAAAACAGAGAAAGAACAGTAGGGTATTTAAGACTCTCTAAGAGGAAAAGAAAGTGAATAAATAATGCATTTTATCGGATAAAACTGTGTTGTCTTATATGCAAGAAGCCATTCATGCCCCTTTCAGTTGGGCATATTCCTTCAGTGGCTTCTGGAGTATCTGTCATGGTTTTATCTTGGTTCATTCACTGAAGCCCATCTCTTCTTTGTGTGCTTCAGTCAACATTTATAAACTGATGTCTGGGATCTGCTAGCAAGCTTCTTCTGACCAACTCTTATCTGAACATATAGAATAAAGTTTGGTAAATAGTGCAAGATTCAGGAGGGAAGCCATGTATCACAGCTAAAATCATGATTTCCATGCCTTGAACTATTGCTATATGTTTTCTTTCATTCTTGGACCTAGTTCAAATGGTTAATGAGACCCAAACTATTTGAAATGCTTGTCTCTAAATTCTAAGTGAGATACAGCCACATTTAGAGAAGAGCTATTAAAATGATGAAATCACTATATTGTGTCCAAGGATAAAAGACTTTGTAAATATTTAGTTTCTCATTGTCACAAACCACTTAAATGAATGAATATAGTCTATTCATTGGTTTTTGGTACTAATAGCCTCCAGGAAATGTCAAATTCACATGTTATCCCAGGACATAAAATTTAGCTTTTAAATTTTTAATTTAACTAAAAGATGTGTAAAAGCACACAGCCATCCAGCTTTTTATTGGCTCTACATCTATGTAGGATTATATGCAAACAATAGTTGAGCCAGCATTGGCAGTCACATAGCTCACTAGCTTGAATGTAATTAATTGCATTTTTTAAAGATAGAGACAAAAGAAGTAGATAATTTGGAGAAGCACTATTTTCAGCAATAATCTTATATATGAGGTAAGGCTCAAAGTTGCCAAAATGGAATCTGGAAATAGAGATCCATCAACCTTATGTCTAAAGTAAATCATAATTGTTCTGAAAATGATTAACGCTGGATGACAGCCAATGTACCTTTGATAAAATGTACTTAGTCTGACTCTACAATTCAGTAGACAGGAAATGGCTCACCTTTTGGTAATGAATTAATTCTTTCATACAGAGCTATAGCAATTCCAAAATTTAAGCCACAAAAATGTCTAGGATGCCAGGAAATTAAAGAGAGTTTCTAGGGGTAGTTGAGAGTGGCTCCTTTTCTACCACTGTCTCACATTCCTTATAGTCTTTTCTTATATGCAGATTTTGGTGGACAAAACACCCATTGCTCAAGGACCTTTTTAAAAATTCTCTCTGCTGATTCAATTGAATCAAAGTAAACATCAGTGAACAAAGATATGACAGTACTCCTTGGTAACCTTTTTTAGCTTGAAAAAGTTAAAATATTTCAAGATTTGGCAACAAAGTGATACATGATTCTCATAATTTATCAAATGTAATCATTAAAGTTGTAATGTAATTCTGAGATTTCCTGTTGGTGGTATCAAAAACAACTAAAACAAACCTACAAAACTGGGTCTCTGTCACAATATGGTGTACTTAAATGGTATTTTTAGACATGCATCTCCACATTCCACGTCACATTCCCCTAATATGCAATGTTGCCAAGTCCAGACTCTTCCTTCCCAAGGGCATAACTTAAATCCATCTAGAAAATGATTTGATCTGCAGAATGCAGATCATTTTAAACTGGAAAGAAGAATAAAGTCTTGGAGACAGCACAGAATGTGGTTATAGTAGTCCAAGTTAAAAATGACCAGTGCATCAACAAGGGATTTGGCTGCTAGACTAGTGTGGTTATTAATGGACAAATGCTCTTTCCTCAACCCAGGAACTGCTTCTACTACTTGCGGTTATGGGAATAGGAAATGGAAGGAGACAACATTTTACTGGCAGACACATTACTGACCCTGCAGAGGCAGCAAGAATAATGAGCAGAGAAGACTTTAGAGAGTTGTGCCAAACAGAGTAATTGCTGCAGGAAGTGCAGGGTTCCTGGGATATGATGGTGACTGGGTTGGATCACCCTATATAAGAGTAGGATGGATCAACAATATAGTTGGTGAATCAAATCATCCTATAATGTTGAAATCACCAAGTAAGAAGCAAGGCATCTTGATTCCTGTCCATTTGTGAGTCATGGGTATTCCAGGGAGCCAACCATTCACTTCACTTATGACTTACGGATATTCACTTGCTATCCATACATCTGAGAGTGTCCTGAGTTCAGATATACATTGTGTAATTTGAATACATCTTAATTTTTTGCTTCAATTTATATTACTATCAAAATAATATAGAATGAAGATTTTCTACTAATATAATTCTCTAAGATTATTCTTAAAATGAGCAAAAAATGGTAAAGATATTTTTTACATTACAGATTTTAGCAATACTTTTGGTTAGAAAGATACAAATATTAAAGGTAAGTGTTTAGATATTTTACTTACTTAACACTCAAAATTATTTACTTATAACAATTAAATCTTTATGAAAATCATATTTGGAACTAGAGTCAACATAATCTAATACATAAAACATATGAAGGTGCATTAAATAATGCAAAGACATAAACAAATAAAATTAAATGAGCAAGCAAATCACATTTCCAGGCTAAATAATATGACCCCACCCCTTAGGAGTGGATATCTTATTAAGTATTTTTCCTCCTCTCTTACTTTGACTTAGGGAGTCCAGAGATTAGCCTACTTTTGGAACAAATACACAATTATGGTAGTCAGGCAGGAGCATAATGCAGTACTCACCTCTGCTACTTAGAACTTGAATGGCAAATGGAATATTTCTAAAGCAAGATTACTTTTTTTTAAAGATTATTTTTTATACAAGAACTGGGGTACAGGTCAGAGGCGTGGGACGGTGAGAAAATTCACTAGAAAGAGCGGGGAGCAGAACAGGAAGACGGACTGAAGACACTGCTGAGGGGAGCAGTGGGCGGGGTAGGCGAGGTCTGCCACGTCATGTAGGTATCTCCCTGGATGGCTAGGCATTGAACACATGCATCAGAGGCTGCAGACAGCTTCACAACACAGTGCTCTACCTGCTGCGCCAACAGGTAGGCCCTAAAGCAAGATGACTTCTGCAGTACTATAAATTAAAGTTCATCCATTAACCTTGTATTCTTCCACTTGTGATGGATTATTGAATTTTAGAGAGGGAATTTACCTAGGCTTTTTGGGCCTCAAAATTTTTTTTTTACATGAAACTGCCCCTGGAATAATTTATAACATTATTAGCAGACACTTGGGCAGTTTCTTCATAATCATGTTAGAAAATCTTGCTTTGTAGTAAGACAAAATAAGATGACCCTCTAAGGAACTATGGGGAAAAGAAAACAGGTAATCCAACACGGAAGGAGGGAAGTAAAACGGTCTCCCTCAAAATGGGCTTTTCCCAGATCATTGCCTTTTCTGCAATTTGCCCTACTCTACAAAGGGTCCAGCTCTGACAGCTCTTCCTGATGATATTATTGGCAGTTAGTTGAGTATCTGCACAGAGAATGCCACAGTCATGGCAGGATTTTTTTCTGTATTGAAAAAGCAGAAACCAACATCTTGGCACTCTATCAGAAAAGATGTGAATTCCTAACTAAAGTGGAATGCACAATCAGAAGAGTTTTTGGAACTTTTCCCTCTGCCATGAAATCTGGTGAATGGTTTGAGTTTTCCCAAAATTACTTGAAATTTAGCTGCTAGGGGCTGTGCTGACTATTCCAATTTTCCTTTCAATTTTGTGTTTTGTTGGATGCTTCCCTCAAGTCTTCCGGTGTAGTTCAGTCATTAGTCAGAGCTGGAAGGTTTATTATTTATTTTGACAGCCACCAGCCTATTTTGTCAAACAGTATACATTACTGCTCCATTTGACAGGTGTTACTCTTACAATCCTTCAGTTTCTGTTTTCCTTTTTGAGTGAGGCTTCTATATCTGCTGTCTTGTTTACCTTCCCAAAGGAAGCACAGTATGTTTTCTGGCTGATAAAAGCTTTGTTTTGTTGCTACTTTTCAGTGACAGATTAAGCAGCCATTGGTCAAAAACTTTTCTCTTGACTTAATCTAAAACTTGTTGAAGTGCTTATTAAACTGTGATCCCAGGGAAGATAAAATAGAAGACTAATAGAAAGAAGAATAAAAGGACAGTGGTTATAATGAATACAGAAACAAGAAAGTACTGCCATTTTACCTCCAATATTCATAGTTCAAGATTAGGTCAAAATGAAATAAAAATCTAAATAGGATTTGGTGAAAAGAATAAACTGCATAAACATTTATTATACTCTCACAGAAGACATGTGCTATGATGACACAGAAAAGAATACCGACCCAGGTTATAGAAGTCAGGTAGTGCTTTTTTGGAGAATATGACATCTAAGTGTTATTGTAAAGGTAAATGGTAATAGAGGAAAAATAATTGTAGTGGGCAGGGCCTTCCAAATGGATGCCATGATAGGAAAGATGATGACTCTCCTTATTCAAGTTCCTGGTAACTTTATATCCAAATTTTGTTTTTTATTTCTTGATAGAATGTTTCTTTTAACCTATAAGGAAGAAAGAGAAAATACTTTTAAATAATTTGTTAGTCTCCTGTTTCCTTATCAGTATTGTGCAGCATACCACCCTAATACTTAGTGAATAGAAAGCAGTGAGTCTATCACTCATGAATCTGTGGTTCAGATTTGAGCTTGACTCATCAGAATTGATTCATGTCTGCTCTGTACTGTAGTTGGGCTCCCTCCCTCCATGGTATTTGGGCTGGAAAATCCCAGATGGCTTCATTCATGTTTTGGGGCCTTAGTGTAGGGCTGCTAACTGGGGCCCCACACTCCACTGAACTTCTTGTTCAAGCTGGACAACCCCAAATTCTTTACCAGGAGCCTTAGTAAAGCAGAAGAATGAACACACCTTATACAGCTTAACCCATGAATTACTAACAGTAACACTTCCACCATATTCTACTGGTCAAGTCAATACCAAAATCAACCCAGATTAATGGGGAGAAGAAATAGATTCTAAGTTTTAAATGTGAAGAATCATATGCACATCCAGGCACAGGAGGAATTATTACAGCTCCTTTGCCAACTATTCCTCACACAATCTAGAATTAGAATGTCTTGATGGCGTCATTCAATTGTGTGAAACCAAGAATATAGTTACTCAGTATTTTTTTCATTATGCTTACACTGAAACACTACTGAGTATTTCTCCAATCCTGATTTCTTTTTCTTTACACCAGATTCTTTTATCTCTATTTGCTTATTGGAATTTCTTCTTCTATGTCCTAGCATCACTTCAGAAACATATATCATAAAAAACTCATCTCTCCTCCAATGCCATTTTTTTCTCATTCCAGTTTATAAATGCAATCATCTCAGACTATTATTATTATTACCAAGAATTTAAAATATAGATATATCTATCTCTCTTACTTTTGCAAACATATGAAACCAGAACTACATCTGAAAACTGCTGTATATTATACTGGCAGTGTGAAATTGAGGAAATCACTTAACCTTTCTGATCCTATGTATTCATCATTTAAAGTTGATAAGCTGCCTTCATCTCAGAGTCACTGTGGAGATTAGCTTTGGAAAAAAAAACTCATAGAGGCCTAAACATGTTAACCACTCACTAAATGCAAATTTCCAACTTTACATGACTTTCTGTAGCACTCATATGTACCTAGTTTACTGATAACATTTTATGTATATGTTCTGTCTCCACAATTAGAGAGTAAACTCCAAGAAGGCTATGACCCCCCAAAATCTTTAGCATAAAAATAGTAGCATTCAGATTTGTGATATAATAAAGTTTGTTGATTGACTTACATTAATAGAAATTAAGAACTTTAAACTCCATTTTGGGGAGGGGTAAATGTAAACTCATAAGCTTTATGGAAACCAAGACAATGTTTTTGTATTCTATGATATTGTGTTCTTTCTAAAGCAAACTATTTATTAAAGAGTAAAATAGGGGGAGATAAAAGGGAACTACTGATTTTGGCAGCTAAAGGAAGGTTTTCAAAGTCTAATGCCAGATGTTGGGCCAATTTTGAAAGCATCTTCCTTTTGGTTTTACATTAAGATCTTTACATCTTTGAAAAAAAGTATCAACTAATATTGTAGCAATTACATTTTTAGGCAAAAATATTTTAGAGACCAAGTGCTTTTTTCTCCTCTATGAAATAAGATCGTTTCAATTACTAGTAGCAATAATTAATCACTAACTGATTCATCAACTAGCAGCTGGGATTGGAGATCTGACTTCCCTTCTTTATTCCTATTTTATATTTCACTGTGCTCAGCAAAGGTTGAGTAATAGGAGATTCATACCCTTTCCCTACTCTCAGTAACTTTTTCTAATACCAGCAAAGAAGAAAATTTTGAATATTTTTTTCAATTACATTTTCGCCAACACATTTTTGTAGGGAACTTTAGAAGTAAAAGTGTTGTTCCATTTGCTGTAAAAATAAAGCATTTTAGAAAGATGTTTCTTTAAAGTTTGAACAACCATTCTTTGCTTATTTTTTTTTTAATTTTTAATTTTTTCAGTGTTTATCAGTCTACCTGACTTGCCAACCCAAAGGTAATCATCAACTTGATGAAAATTTTAGACACTAGAATTTATAGTCATTAGTGCTATCTAGACCTATTCCTTGATGCAAAATGTTGTGGCAGCTTAGGAACCCTTGGGGGAGCACTGCAAATGCATATTGGAGTCACTTCTCTATGAAAGTACTTTGGACTTAGTTCATGTGTGTCAGGGTAGAGAAAAGAAGGTGCTCACCATGTTCAAAACAACATACCAAATGTCTTCAGTTTGCAGAATAAATTCGTTAATGGGACTATAGAAACAACATCTGGATTCAGTTGGTAATAATTCATTGTAAGCCTCCCTATGCCATTATTATTTTCAATTTTATTATTGTGTTATTAATGCAACCCTTACTACCATTGTTCTATTTATTCCTTAATCAGGGCTATAATTTCAATTTGTCTACCTTTGTTGGACTACCCTGCAGGAGGCAGGTGCCAAAGAGGAGTAATCATTACATGTCCCACCAACAATTTCCGTATGCACCAGTTCCCAATGGGTTTTATATGGATTCACAGTACACGTAAGCAAGGTTTTTATCACTATACATTTGGTAGTGGAAACCAAAGAGATCCAGTCACAAGATGATATTTGTTTATCTTCCCCAGTGTGTATCCAGTCCAAATCTCATTACCTGAATCTTAGTACCCTTGTACCTACAGAACCAGGGGAGATGGCGACTTGGGCACCTTTCCAAGACAATGAAATAAATTTGAATTTCTTCCACCAAATTCTCCAGTATACTTGGGTGAGTACATATGGTCTTTGGTCTCCTTGGGGTGAGGTATACTTAAAACTGATCCAAATTCTTCTCTCTCCTTAAAAGGCTGAGGTCAGGGTAGTGAAAAGGGAAGATCAGCGGACAAGGCACATACCTGCCATTTTGAGCAATGGTAGCTGCACGCAGCTCAACAAAATGAACCATTAATATTTTCATTTCACCCCAAGTACTATATGAGCAGCAAAATCATTCTTACTACTATCATCTATTTTAAGTCTAGAGACTCCTTGACTCAACTGTTAAAATCATTGCTTTCTGGTTGGGGTAGTGGGATTTATTTTCTTTGACTGATTTTGATTTGACATAGACAGTGTTGATTTTTTCTTTTAAAAGGAGTGTATCCTTAAATTAATATAGTGCATTTGCAGTACTGTGATCCAAATAACATCTCGAATTCCTGACCAATTTTAGCATATGTCTCTGGGGACTTTTCCCAAAGAGGCGTGACTTACTAAACAAATTTATCTATATTTCTTTGTAGGTCTTTATCTAGATTAGTGGATGACTTTTGTCAGCATTGTGAAGCTAATCTGTGGCAGTCGGAGCCCAAATACTTTTCAATACTTCACCTGTGGTTTCACAAAATAATTTATCATTCTTAGGGAAATCTCCTGGAAAGGGCAATGCTCCCTTGCAATAACCAGAACCCATTGCAAGAAAACCTAAGAACATTTATTATGATCTCTGAAATGATCTAGGGTTGGCATGCTAGACTGCAGAAGGGACTAAGTCATAGGACAACCCACCCATTGCCATTTTCTCTTAATAGGCATTATAGGTTGGCATTCTTTCATCTCCCAAATTCAATAGGTAAATTTAAAATGGCTTATCTAATTTTTGCCCACACTAGTCATGGATTTTACTTTATTATGACTTAGCACATCTCTTTTGAAAGAAATGTGGTGAAACACTCTATCCCCAACCTCCAAAAAAGTGTTAGTACCAATCATGACAGAGCAGCAGACCTGAGGATGAATACCAGACGAGAACATTCAGTTTCCCCTCTAACAAGAAAATTAGCAACACTAAGGGCATAATTCAGGCAGTTACTTTGTTCCTACCTCCTAGTGGTTGGTTTGATATAATAGCCTCCATTTTTCTTACTTAACAGGTAATAAAGTAGAGCACACTTTAGTACCCAGTTGAACATACATGAACTTCCTTCTGTTCACATGACACTTTAAACTTTCCTAAATCATACTCTTGCAGAAAACCATCTCAGGAAAATGGGAGAGTTTGAGATATTCCCTGACTAGCAAGTTATTATCCCGCTCTTTGATGGCTGCTCAGAGAAGAGAAGATAGAGGTATGACAGATAGATGATAGATAGAGAGATAGATAGATAGATAGATAGATAGCCCCCTTGAATAAGAAACACAGACTATTGTACACAGTGATCAGAAATAGCCAGCGTATCAGTTTTTACACTGGTTCCCAGAACTCCAATCCTGATCAGTCAGTTCAAAGAGGTTCAGGTGATATCTTCATATACAATAAGTTACAATATGAGAGAGATACTGAGAGAAACCAAGTCCTTTATAATAGAGAGAAAAAAATGCCTAATTTTTACTCGAAAGGACATGTTTTACTTTAGTGGATAATGACAATACCATTAATAACAGCAAAAGTGAACCCAAAACCAACAAAACCCCATCCTTCGTGCCAGAAAGAGAAACTGTATCTCCTGAGTTCACTTTCCATACTAAGATTCTTGGTAAAATAGTCCAGAATAAAGGTCTGTGCCTTGCTCAAAGAAGAACAATGTGAGAAACACACAGGGAATTGTTTCCCAAGAACTAACCTGTAGAAATGTATTAAAGTTCATGTTCTGTGTCTGCCTTTGTCCCTGACTCTATTTCTGTTTATTTTACACACACACACACACACACACACACACACACACACACACACACAGTGCAAATTTTGAAGATTTTTGAGGTTTTTTACAGGCTTAAACCAATTCCCAGAAATATCAGGATGTTCATTTGATGAGGATTTCATAATTTCTTTACTATTTGTCATAATAAAAAAAACCTCTCCTACTTGTATAGTAACTATTAATGGGAATAGAATAAACTTTAACCTTATTAAAAAATACATAAGAAGAATGGTTCCAGAGAATAACTGGGATACTAGTATGTGGCAATAGTAAACATCACAAAATTA